GAGTGACAAGAACAGTCTGGGAAAAGCTGCTGTAAAGAGCAGGGGAGGTGGTCTGAAGTGCATGTGTTTCAATGTAAGAAGTATAATAGGCAAGGTAGGTGAACTCAGAGCTTTGGTCAGTACTTGGAACTGTGACATTATTGCAATTACAGAGACTTGGCTGAAAGAGGGACAGGACTGGCAGCTGAATGTCCCAGGATTTAGACGTTTCAGGTGCGATAGAAAGGGAGGTAAAGGATGGTGGGGGAGTTGCATTTCTGGTAAAGGAGTATCTCACAGCTGTACTGAGGGAGGATACATCAGAGGACTCATGTAACGAGGCAATGTGGGTAGAACTCAGGAATAGGAAAGGTGAAATCACAATGCTAGCGGTGTACTACAGGCTTCCAACAGCCATTGGGAGATAGAGGACAAAGTATGTAGACAGATTTTAGAAGGATGTAAAAATGGCAGGATTGTTGTGATGGGTGATTTTAACTTCCCCGATGTTGACTGGGAATCACTATGTGCTGGGGGCCTGGATGGGGCAGAATTTGTAAGGACCATTCAGGAGGGATTCTTGACACAATATGTAAACAGTCCAACCAGGGAAGGGGTTATGCTGGACCTGGTTTTGGGAAATGAGCCTGGCCTGGTGAGTGAAGTTTCAGTGAGGGAGCATTTCAGGAGTAGTGACTGTCATACCATGAGTTTTAAGATATTCATGGATTAGGATAACAGCTGTCCTTGGGTGAAGGTGAAATACAATAATGTGAGGCAGGAACTGGAGAGTGTTGATTGGAGGCAGCTGTTGATTGGAGAGTAAATCCACATCAGACACGTGAGAGTATTTCAAATGGCAGTTGATAAGAGTTCAGGAGCATCACGTTCCTGTGAGAATGAAGAATAGGTACAAAAATATTACATGAACCTTGGATGATCAGGGATATTATGAATTTGATCAAAAAGTAAAAGGAAGGATATGTAAGGTCTAGGAGGATGGGAACAGACGAATCCTTGAAGTATATAAGAAAAATAGGAAAGAACTTAAACAAGGAATTAGAAGGGCTAGAAGGGGTCATCAAAAGCCATTGGCAAACAGGATCAAGGCAAATTCCAAGGCTTTTTATACATATATAAAAAGCAAGAGTGTAGCCAAGGAAAGGGTTTGGTCCACTCAAGGACAAAGGAGGGAGTCGATGTGCAGAGCTAGAAGAGGTAGGTGAAGTCCTAAACGAATGCTTTGTGTCAGCATTCACCAAAGAGAAGGAATTGATGGAGGATGATCTCAGGGAGGGGAGTGTCAAGTTTCTAAGCCAAATTACTATTAAAAAAGGAAGAAATCTTATGCGTCTTCAAAAGTATTAAGGTAGATAAGTCCCTGGGTCCTGATGGGATCTATCCCAGATTATTGAGGGAGGCAACAGAGCATTGATGGACATTATTATCCTCTTTGGCCACAGGTGAGGTCTTATAGAACTGGAGAATAGCCAATGTTGTCCCATTGTTTAAGAAGGGTAGCAGGGATAATCCAGGAAATTATAGCCCAGTGAACCTTGCGATGGTATTCAGGAAATTATTGGAAAAGATTCTCAGGGGCAAGATCTATATGCATTTAGAAGCAAATGGACTTATTAGCGATAGACAGCATGGTTGTGTGGGGGAGGCTGTGCCTGACTAACTTGATCGAGTGTTTTGAGGAGGTGACGAAGATGATTGGCCTGGAAGAGTGGTTGATGTTGTCTATATGGACATAAGTAAAGGCTTTGACAAGGTCCCTCATGGCAGACAGATATAAAAAGGTGAAGTCTCATGGCATCAAGGTTAAGCTGGCAAGATGGATACAGAACTGGCTTAGTCATACAGAAAGAGGGTAGCAGCGGAAGGATGCTTTTCAGAATGGAGGGTTGTGACTAGTGGTGTTACACAGGGATCAGTGCTGGGACCTCTTCTGTTCGTGATCTGCATAAATGATTTGGCGGAAAACATTGCTGGTCTAATTAGTAAGTTTGCAGGCAATGCAAAGGTTGGTGGAGTTGTGGACAGTGGCGAGGAATTTCAGAGGGTACAACAGGATATAGATCAGTTGGAGGCATGGGCAGAAAATGGCAAATGGAGTTTAATCCAGAGAAATGTGAAGTGATGCATTTTGGAAGGCCCAGTACAGGTGGAAATTATACAGTGAATGGTAGAACCCTTAGGAGTATTGATATGCAGAGAGATTTGGGTGTGCAGGTCCACAGATCACTGAAGGTAGATAAGGTAGTCAAAAAGGCTGATGGCATGTTTGTTTTCATTGGAAGGGACATTGAGTATAAAGATAAGCAAGCAAGCATCTTTATAGAACTTTAGTTAGGCCACATTTAGAATATTGCGTACAATTCTGTTCACCACGCTACCAGAAGGATGTGGATGCTTTGGAGAGGATACAGAAAAGGTTTGCCAAAGGTTTACCCCATCCTGGTATGGGGGAATTTTAGCTATGAAGAAAAGTTCGATAGACTGGGTTTGTTTTCACTTAAACGCAGGAGATTGAGGGGCAACCTGATAGAAGTTTATTAGATTATGAATGGCATGGATAGAATGGAAAGTAAGATGCTTTTTCACAGGGTGGAGGAGTTATTTACCAGGGGACAGAGGTCCATGGTGCTGGGGTAGTGAAGGTGGGGGGAATGTGCGTCAAAAAAGTTTAAAAGGGATGTGCAAGACAAATTTTTCTCACTAAGGGTGGTGAGTGTCCAGAATGGGCTGCCAGAGGAGGTGGTGGAAGCAGGCCCAATAGCAGCATTCAAGAAACACCTCAATGAATACATGAATAGGAAGGGAATAGAGGGATATGAATCTTTTAAGTGAAGACAGTTTCAGTATGGAAGGGCAAAATGTGTCAGCACAGGCTTGGAGGTCAAAGGACCTGTTCCTGTGCTGTATTGCTCTTTGTTCTTCTTTGTTCAACTAGGGAACAGCTATCCTAGATTTGGTATTGTGTAATAATCTTGTTTGAGGTACTTTAGGAAAACATGGCCATAATATGATAGCATCCTTCATTAGGTAGAAAGTGCTATAGTCCAATTTGAAACTAATGTCCTAAATCTATACTAAGGGAGTATGAAAGTATGAGGGTGAGTTGCCTGCAATAGGTTGAGTAATATTGTTAAAATATATGGCAGTGGATAAGCAATGGCTAATATTTAATATTTAAGAAATAAATGCATGTTTTGCAACAGTTAAATATTCCTTTTTAGTGCAAAATTGTAACAGTGAAAGTCTCACATATGGCTAGCAAGAAAAATTGAGGTTCGTTTTAGATCCAGAACAGGAGTCTCATAAAGTTGCTAGAGAAAAGAGCAATCTTGAGGACTGTGAGCAGTTTAGACTTCAACAAAGGAGAACCAAGAATTTGATCAAAATAAAAATAGAGGATGAGTGTAAATCTGTATGGAAAAGAACAGCTGACTGTCAAAGCTTCTATAGGTACAAAATAAGAAAAAGATTTGTGAAGGTAAACTTAGGTCCCTTGAAGTCTGACATGGGAGTTTTGATAATAGAAAATAAGGAAATAGCAGAGCAATTAAGCAACTGCTTTAGTTCAGTCTTCACTGAAGATACATATATTTCCCAAAAATGCCAGGAAGGAACCAAGGGTCTATTGAGAAGGATGCATTGAAGAAGATTAGTGTTGCTACGACTCTGGCAGAAAGAGTGCACTGGAAATCAAGCCTCATTACTCTGAATCATACCAAAAGTGTAATTGGGTTATTCAATCACCAAAAATAATAAATTTATTTCGGTTTATTCCTGTTAACTAGAACAGGCAAATGTATTCTTCAAACAAGTGACAAGCTGGTTATCAAGCAACCTACTATAAAGAACAAAACTATGTCCAGTTAATCCCAAAACACACGCATTTTCATGCACAGATAGGACAAAGACATACAGGATTCTGAACAGCTATTAGGGGTTACGAAACAACACAATGCCCTTGTGGGTCATGGGGTGAAATCATGTGACAAAAATGGGTTGGCTTCTCACATTTCCTTTGGATTCCTGTCAATGAGACCTAAAAGCAGATAGCCACAGATGGGATATGAAAACCTCAGATATATTTGAGATGCAGTTGGAATCAGTTAGGAGTACTGATATTTGAAATGTTATCAGGTCTTTTCAAACTATTTCACTGAAAGAGTTACATAGCGCTGCTGCTTTCAGTTTAAAGCTCTGACTGCTGCTGAAATAAACATAGTGCTGGAGGAACTCAGATCTGGTAGAACATGCGGATAGAGAAACAGTTAACATTTCGAGTCCAATATGACTCTTTTTCAGATCTGAAAGGAAATGGAAAATTAAGGTTTGTATGTTAATTATAAGGGAGAGGAAGACCAAATGGAATAGATGGGAGTATGGCCAGAGCCAAAGGTAACGGGAGTGATAATGGTGGTAAAGGAAAGATAGAGATGTAGAATAGCTCTATATGTTAGCTGTGGAAAGGAAAAAAATGGATCTGCGCTGCTGAGAGCAAAGCCAACAAGACAGAAACATGACAGGGCAGGGGCAGAGCTGGGTATGTAAGAAAAATAGAGAACAGAGGTCATACTCTGAAGTTGTGGAACTGAATGTTCATCCTAGAAGCAGTAATGTGCCTCAGTAAAACATGAGGTGCTGTTCCTTCAGCTTGCACTGAGCTTCATTGGAACACTGCAACAGGCCCAGAATGGAATTGTGAGCATGACAGCGTATAGTTTGTTGAAATAGCAAACAACTAGAAGGTTGGGCTTATTTCTACAGAATGGAAGTGTTCCGCAAAGCAGCCACCCCAACTCTGTGTGGTCTCGCCAATGTAAAGACCGTACTGTGAGCTGCCAATGGATTAGACTAGATTGAGAAAAGTCCAAGTTAAATGCTGCTTCACCTGTTGGATTGTCTGGGACCTTGGGCAGTGAGGAGTTTTTGAATGGACAAGTGTTACTCCTACTGCAATTGCATGGGAAGGTGCTATGGTGCTGTGGGGGAAGAGAAGATGTGTTATGAGCAATGAAAGAGTGGACCAGGGTGTCACAGAGGATCCAGTCACTGTGGAATGCTTACAGTGGAGGGAAGAGGAAGATGTGTTTGGTTATGGTATTCTGCTGGAGGTGGGGGAAATGATGGATGGTGATCATTTGAATGTGGAGGATGGTGAGATGGAAATTGAGTATATGTGGAAACCTCCTGTTGTTCTGGGAAGGAGACGAATTGAGGATAAGGCAGAAGTGCAGGAGATGGGTCATAAATAGTTGAGGGCCATTTCAACCACAGGGAGGAGGGGGAAGGAAAAAGAACATGTCAGAGGCAGTCTGGTGGAAGGTAGCATTATTGAAACAGAGAACATTGCGACAGAGAAGCTGGGAAAATGAAATGGAATCCTTTAGAGGAAGCAGGCTGGGAGGATGTGTATTTGAAGTAACAGCACGAGTGGGAGGCTTTGTGGTGGATATTGATGGACTGGCTATCCTCAGAAACGGAACAGTGAAGTCAAGGGAGGGAAGGGAAGAGTTAAATATTGACCAGGTTTCGATGGCAGAAAGATGGAAATTGGAGGCAAAATAGATTAACCTTCTGAATTCTGGACGAGATCAAGAAGCAGGACTCACAGCAGTGATGTATCAGAGAAAAAGTTGGGGATGTGGATGGCAGGCTTATCATATGAGGAGAGATTGTGTCAATGGGGACTGTATTCAGTGGAATTTAGAAGAATAAGAGGGATTTAACAAAGAAATTGTTAGGTTTCTAGAGGATAAAGGTGTTCACGACATATGAGGAGAGAGTACAAGTATGGAATTGAGATAAAGGATCAGCCATGATCATATTGAATGGCAGAGCGAACTCAATGGCCTCCTCCTATTTTCCACATTTTTTAATCCACTTGAACCTTTCCAAAATCTGTGGAATTTTGGTGGATTACAACCAAAACATCTAATGGGCAAGTTTTGGAGGTGTTGGGAAAGTTGAGTTGGGATCCTTCCTTTAAAAGTTCCTCTTCCCTCCTTCCTGCAGTGACGCATGGGATTTCCCTGCTTATCTTTATTCCTGCCTGGGTCATGTATTTGTACGTTTTACCCAACTCTGTTTTTAGAGGAATTTTCTCTTTGTGTGCATGCAAAACAGCCTCCCCCTCTTTGTAAATAATTCTCCCACAATTAATGTAATTAAAGCACAAAGCAATAATTTAACCAGTTTAAATACTTGCTTATACCAAACTTTCATGAAACACTGCAAGTATTGGAGGTGGTAAGTCCCTCTGTGTGTGAAACTACAGTGTAAAAATGTGTGATTTAATTATTTATTTTAGAGTTTGGAGTTTGGACAGTGTATGTGGGTTTCGGTCTGTGTGTAAGAAGGGGTTTAGTGACCAACTTGTCAGTATTTCTGAAGTCATGATTTATTTTTTCTGAACCAGTCTGAGAGATGGTAGCCGAACTCGTCCTCACACTCAACAACTTCTCTTTCAATTCCTCCCACTTCCTACAGACAAAGGGGGTAGCCATGGGTATCCGCATGGGCCCAAGCTACGCCTGCCTCTTTGTAGGTTACGTGGAACAATCCCTCTTCCGTACCTACACCAGCCCTAAACCCCACCTCTTCCTCCGTTACATTGATGACTGTATCGGCGCCGCCTCGTGCTCCCACGAGGAGCTCGAACAGTTCATCCACTTCACTAACACCTTCCACCCCAACCTTAAGTTTACCTGGACCATCTCTAACACCTCTCTCCCCTTCCTGGACCTCTCTGTCTCCATATCGGGCAACCACCTAGAAACCGATATTCATTTCAAGCCCATCGACTCCCACAGCTACCTAGAATACTCCTCCTCCCACCCACCTTCCT